ATTGGATTATTTGTTCTTTGGGTGTTGAGTTTGATAAGTTCTTTATAGATTTTGGATACTAGCCCTTTATCTGATATGTCATTTGCAAATGAAATGTCCTTCTTTTTAAGGCTGGATGATATTCCAATGTATGTGCACACTGCATTATATCCATTTATCTACTGAAGGACACTTGGGTTGCTTCTACCTATGACCTATTGTGAGCGATGCTGCCATGAACTAGGTGTGCAAGTATCGCTTTGAGTCCCTGCTTTCAATTCCTTTGCAAGAAGGCCCAGAAGCAGAATCACTGCATCATATAGTAAATCTGTTTTTAACTTTTTGAGGAATTGCACACTGTTTTCCACAGTGGCTATGCCACTTTACATTCCTGCCAGCAGTGCACGAGGGTTCATTTCTCTTCAATCTTGCCAATACTTTTTATTTCCTGTTTTGTTTTTTTTTTAATAGTAGCCATCCTAATACCACTGTGGTATCTCACTGTGGTTTTGATTACTATTTCCCTAATGATCAGGGATGTGGAGCCTCTTTTCATGTGATTATTGGCCATTTGTAGATCTTCTTTAGAGAAACAGCAGTTCAAGTCCTTTGCCTATTTTTCTAATCGGTTGGTTTGTTTTTGTTATTGAGTTTTAGGAGTTCTCTGTATTTTCTGGATTTTAATCCCTTATCAGATAATGTGATCTGCAAATACTTTTTCCCATTCTATGGACTGCCTTTTTACTCTGTGGACAGTGTCTCTTTTCTTTTAGATTTATTTATTTATTTGAGAGAGAAAAAACACAAGTGGAAGGGAGGGGCAGAGGGAGACGGTGAAGCAGACTCCCTGCTGAGCAGGGCACCTGACATGGGGCTCGATCCCGGGACTCCAGGATCATGACCTGAGCCAAAGGCAGATGCTTAACTGACTGAGCCACCCAGGCGCCCCTGGACAGTGTCTTTTGATGCACAAGTTTTTAATTTTCATGAAGACCAATTAATCTGTTTTTTCTTTTGTCACCAATCGCCTCAGTGTCAGAGCCAAGAAATTATTGCCAAATCCAATGTTGTGAAACTTTCCCCCTATTTCTTTCTAAGAGTTTAGTAATTTTAGCTCTTATGTTAGGCCTTTCATCCAGTTTAATTTCTATATATGGTATGAGGTAAGGGTTCAAGTATCATGCTTTTGCATGTGGATAACCAGTTTCCCCAGCACCATTTGTTGAAAAGGCTCTCCTTTCCCCCACCAAATGGACCTGGTACTCTTGTTGAATATGAATTGACCATATCTGCAAAGGTTTATTTCTTGGTGCTCTGTTCTGTTTCATTGGTATATATGTCTCTCCCTTTTCCAGTGTCACATTGTTTTGATTTCTGTAGCTTTGTAGTAAGTTTTAAAATCAAGAAGTGTGAGTCTTCCAACTTTAATTTTTCAAGATTGTTTTGGTTATTTGGGGTCCCTTCAGAATCCATATGAATTTTGGAATGGGTTTTTCTATTTCTTGAAAAAATGCCATTGGGAATTTAACAGTGATTGCAATGAATCTGGAGATCACTTTGGGTAGTACTGACAGTAACAATGGAAGTCTTCCAATCCATGACCACAGGGTGTCTTTCCATTTATTATGTCTTAATTTCCTTTGGGAGTTGTGTGGCTTTCAGTGTGTAAGTCTTTCAACTC